GGCAGTGACTCCAGTCGAGCTGAAATAAAGGATTAGATAGAATAAAGGGTGGAGTAAGGCTACTGTTGACTCTGCAGACAACAACAACTGCGATAGCTGTCCCTAATTTTGAACTGAAAGACTTGAGGAAAGGTAGCTAGTCAACGCATCCACCGTTCCCTTGAGGACACACACACAGTCTCAAGTATCGAACACGATTTTGGGGCAATGGGATACGAACCTCATCATATTCACAGTCTGGTTTGCTAACCAATAAGGCCACGCCCGAAACTTTCGTAGACGCAGCTGCATGATCAATTATCTAAAGATGACAGTAAAAGCTGCTTAATTTAGTTGGCAAAGTACTGGCACGAAGATGAAAGAGTTTTTATTCTTATCCACTATTGTCATTTTCCCGAACTAACATCTGCCAAAAGAAACTAATAAGCATCGTTAAAAGCAGGGTTGCCCCCTAGTGGCACAGCGGCATGTCTGCGGACTTACAATGCTAGAAACCGGGTTTCGATACCCGTGGTGGGCAGAGCACGGATTTCCCATTGTGTAGCTTTGTGCTTAACTTCCAACCCAACAAACAAACAAAAAATAATATTTTAATTATTTTGTTTTTCATACAAGTTCTAGTGATTTTCGTTATACCAGAGGTAGATTGGCTTAAGTTTTAGCTGGATTGCGTTATCTGACACTTAACAACCTCTCAGTGTTCAGAGCACATCTCAACCGTAATTTAAAGTTGAAATGTATGTGGTTAGTGCACTTGACTCGCAATCTGAGGGTCGCGGGTTCGAATCCCCGTCACACCAAATATGGTCGCCCTTTTAGTCGTGGGGGCGTTATAATGTGACGATCAATCTCACTATTCGTTAGTGAAAGAGTAGCCCAAGAATTGGCGGTGGGTGGGGATGACTAGCTGCCTTCCCTTAGTCTTTCACTGCTAAATTAGAGACGGCTAGCGCAGACAGCCCCCTTGTAGTTTTGCGCGAAATTCAAAGCAAACCAAACCAAGATGAAACACAACGTTTTTAAATTTTATTATGTCTTTCAAATATTAAAGCGATTTACATTATTTACAACCTATCTGCTAATCGGTCTTACCTCAGAGTTCATAACGCTAAAAACCGGGTTTTTGTACCCGCGGACGGCAGAGCACACATAACTTATTGCGTATCTCTGTGTTTAAACAACAAATGTAGGAACTAATTAACTTTCAGTGAAGCGTATAACTTGTTACGTTTTGAATTAATGTTCATAATTTCAATATGCAAGGGATACAATGTTATCAAATCTATATATGTAAGCACGTATAAAAAGACTTAAATGAATATTGAAGCTCAAGTAATGTTTATATTTCAGATATATTTTTATCATATTAGACAAGGTTGACACTTCGAAGTGTTCCTGCATGCTTTCCATCGGACGATTGAGACGTCGTTTCAACAAACAGTTTTTTTCGGGGTGTTGATATAAGTAACTCTTTCTTGGCAATGTTTCTCTTTTCATTTAATCGAACATGCATAGATAAGCATGTATGAAGTTGACATAGTAAAAAAAAAATACATGTATGTTTATAGACGTTAGAAATAGTTGGGGCAGGCACGTTATTTGCGTAATTTTATTAATGAGAAAATTCCGTGACACTTCATGATTGTATTCAGAAAATGACAAACATCGACAAATAAGTATGGTATATTTCGTACTTGTATGTTTCTTTGTTTCGTAAAAATACGTCATGTATATTCTATTAACAATCCGTGGCCCCTCTCTAATGATATTTGAATGAATAAATGAGATTATTTAAATTGCATGTTAGCTATACGCAATTTGCAAGTGAAAGAAGAAAATATTTAGAAATGCAAAAGAATTAGGTTCCAAATGACGATCTACCGAAGGGATACGATAAAGTTAGATATAGTGAAAACTAATGAAGTAGGCTTTATCGAATTTATTTATGTCTTTTTGTGTAAAAATTAAACTTTTATTGGCTGTTTCCAGAAGTCTGTGAGTCTAAGGAAAAAAAGACTGTTCAAAGAATTAAAAGAAAGGACAAACAAAAGGTCATTAAGATGTTAATGAATGTTTGTTTGAAAACACAATATGGGATCTAAATTATTTTATTTAACATCTTATAATTCCTAATTATCTCACATTTAATTAAACCAAGAATATTCCATATCATTTTACAGCATTAGTAGATGTTTAAAAACGAAAAAGAAAGCTCAAAATATTTCATTTTAATTTGATTTCAAATAACGAAAATCGTGCAATCTGTTTGTTATTTTATAGTCATAGTATATTTATTTGTAGATATTTTATAAAGCAGTTTTTTTCAAATAGATTGAATACCAGAGAATGTGAGAAAAACAAGAGAGCAGAACGATAAGAAAAAGAAAACTTTAAGAGTTAGAAGAAGACATCACTTTATAAAAGGTCAGGGTGAAAGTGAAAGAATTAGGTTATAATGACAAATCATGGTAATAATTATGAATTTAAAAAAATAAATATTAAGGCGTAACTTGTAGGTAGAAGAGACACTAAAAAACTCAGTGGAAAAACTGTAGCTTAAATAAAAAGAGAGAGAAAAACAGACGTAATTAAAGAAAGTAAGATAAAAAGCAAAAACAAAACCATAGGTCATAGAAAAGAAAAAATAAAGAACGACAAACATGAGGCGGAAGTAACTTGGTTGTACATCAAAAATATACAAGCGCGAAAGTTAATAATGAAAGTTATAAAGAAAAATCACTATTTATTGATGTTGCAGCTGAAAAAGCGATATTTTAATCAGAATTAATTTATGTTTCGATTATTCACGTATCCAGAAATTATGTACCACGTTTGGGGTTTTGTGAAAATGAAAAGTATTAGACTAATAATGATGAAAATAAACATTATTTATCATATGTTTCGTTCGCAGTGCAGATGTAGAATGAAGAAGTTGTAAAACGAAAGTATAAAAAACTCACATTATGTAACAAACCTCGTATCATGACCAACAGAAAATGTAGGTTTGAGCGATATTAGCTCACTCCAACTAGGTCGAAGGTAGAGTTTTACTCAGCTTTCGATGGGGGGAAATCGATTGATATACACACTCCTTTATATTCTTTCGAGCTGAAAAAAAAGTTTGAAGTTATTCAGTTTTTATATTAAATTTATTAGAAAGATTTTCTTCGTGCAATGGCTAGTTAATGTACTTGGAATGGAAGTATTTGAAATATGCAGAACGTCCTAATAAAGTAGCCAGTCAGTGTATTTAGAATGGGAGTACTTGAAGTGTGCAGGAAATCCTAATAAAGTGACTAGTTAGTGTATTTAGAATGGGAGTACTTGAAGTGTGCAGGAAATCCTAATAAAGTGACTAGTTAGTGTATTTAGAATGGGAGTACTTGAAGTGTGCAGGAAATCCTAATAAAGTGACTAGTTAGTGTATTTAGAATGGGAGTACTTGAAGTGTGCAGGAAATCCTAATAAAGTGACTAGTTAGTGTATTTAGAATGG